TTCACTTGGCTGAAATATTGACCATTGAACTCTTCCTAACTGCAATTTTAATATTTTACTTGTATTTTCAGTTACCAAACTATGCCTTATTTGTTTATTTTCATACTTAAATAATAATCAATTGTAGTCTCTGAGTAATGTAAATAATGTAAGAAAAGTTATGCATTTATTATTAATGTTTTGGAACTTGCTTTTGTTTTCAGGTTCATATTTCAATATTGAATCACAATATAAATAGGTTATTGGTCACTTTTAGAATAAATGTTGATTAGTAGGACAATTCGGGAGCAAGGTTATTAGTAGTGATCAGTGTTTGTTTTTTACCATGATTATTGACATAGTATGAAGTTTAGTAATGGGAGTTTAAATATTGTTTGTGATAGAAGATAAACTGTTAAAGAAATAAAAGAATAAACCCCCTAGATTACACAGTAAAAAGAGATTGCGAGTTAAACAGAAATGTAATTATTACAAAGAGTTTTATTAGCATTATGATACTCATTTTTGTGAAATTGATCTTTTTTGCTGTATATTAATGATGCTTGCATGCAAACCTAAAGAAATGTGAAAATGTGTATGGATTTGATACAAAGAAACATTCAAACCCATATTTATCATTGGATTGTATAGACAGGCTTGAGTAAAGTTTCATTATTTTAAATACAGATCTAAAGTTAGATTTCTGTATGCTAACATATTCATCTTTGTTTCATTTTTACATTGTAGACAGCAGAATATATTAATTTTAGACATGTAACTGTAAAGGTAAGGAACAATAACAAAAAAATGTGTATTGGTTGCAATGAACAGTAAGTGTCAGTGATTGTTTTGGTTGTAATGAACATTACAATAACCAGTGGATTTTTTGAATATTGAACAGAAGCTGCTTGCATATGTTTAGATGCATTTTAGGTTGTTCTTTTGTGTGTGTGTGTGTTTGTGAAGGGGACTTGATTTGCTACTTGTTTAACCATATGGCACTTAGAAATTGTATCATAAAATCTTGAAGTCAGTTCCTAAATGTAGAATTGTTTTCTTAACATAATATTAAAAGTACTTATTTAAAACCATGGTAATAAAAGGTAAAAAATGTAGCCTTCTTTTGTATATATAAAATATTTATTTGTGTTGGTGTTTTAAACAATGGGGGAAGTAGAACACAAAAAATGAGCAGTCATGGGTAATGTTGCTGTTGGTATATTATTAGTAGGATATCTATTATTCTTATAAAAATACTTTAATGTACTGGAACCGTCTTTCATTATTTTCACACCATATTACAATGTAGTTATTATATATTAGTAAGGTAAAAACGTTTGTGGGGGGGGGCTAAGCTTTTGTAAATGCTGACAAATAGATATTGCAAAAACAATGAATAATATTGTTTTCATCATTGTTTTTAGTAGTGGGTAGGTATTTATATTTAATTGTTGGGAAATAGTTTTTATAATCAAAAAAAAAAAGACTGTATCCTCCTTTAGTTTGGAGACTATCATTGAAGATCTGCTGAAGCAGATCTTCATCAGTTCCAATTGATCTTATGAAGGTCTGTACTAACCTTCCCAAACATTATATCCAGACCACAGCTAGGTTAAAGCTTATCATGTCATCTCATATATATGTATTTGATAATATGAGATTTTTTACCAATAGAACTAAATACATCAATGGCTCCCATTGCTAAAAGTAATCAGATGATGTTTCAAAGAACGTAGATAAAACTTTTTCTTGTTATTGGAGTTGCATCCTCTTGAAAGGTTGAATGACTGTCATATACAATGTAATTAGCCATACTTCAGAATAATCAGACTTTTTTAGGTGCAAGCTAAAGAAGTCGTACGTTGTCAGGGTGATCATTTTCTATCATGTATACAAAAAAATGTTCAATCACATTGTTGAATATTTACAGTACAGAAATAAGCTGAGTTGGAACATTCATAAGCAGATTAATTTGTCATGTTTACATGTGCAAACCTTTAAATTTCCATTTTTTTAGCTTTTGAGGCCTAATTCTAGTTCATAGTGATTGACAGAAGACAAATTGCCCTTGTGATTGCATTAAATTATGCATTATCTCTGATTTTGTGCTGTAGCTGTATTTATAAATATGTGGATTTAGAGATTGCAACAGATTGTACAAAAAAAATTATATATATATATATAATATCAGAAAAACAATTATATATATATATTTGACTATCTAATTCTCATATTTATACTAATTTTATTGAATTTTTAAATAACTTGTATAACTTTCCCCGTCTTTTTGTGTTTGTATTTTACTTTTGTAATATTGTTATAAAAATGGTGTGTGTGTGCATTAAAAGATGAAATTTCTTCAAGCCCACAAGATTCACATAAGTGAAGTTTCCATCTATTTTATTCTTTGGCAGTCTTTTGAGAGCTTTAATGTTTTATTAATGGGCTGTAAACATGTGAAACCCATCATTCAAAATTATTTTGATTAAAAAACAAAAGAGTAGTTTCAAATTGACAATTTTAGTTTTAGAGAGAGAAACCCAGCATGGTAATATAGTTGATCTTGGTTTCATTTAAGCATTTTGGGACTTAAGTACTAAAACACTGAACAAGGCTGATTTGTTAAAATTATGAGAACACACTGTATTAAGTATGTCGTACGTTGGAGCTCTGGTTTCTTGTGTATTATGAATATAAATAACTTAAAATGCCTTTGCAAAATTTAAGTGTGTCGTACAGTAGTTGTCCACAAATTTAGTTTCAGTTGAAATCCACCATTAAAAACATTTCCCTATATTCATCACTTTATTATAAGAATATATATATATAAGTAAAGGCAGATAAAAACAATCACAGAAACTAACCAACATTTGTGATTTTTTCATGCATGTTTCAAATCATTAATTTAGCCATGTTTCATACCTAAACACAAAAAGTCCTGGTCAGTGACCAATGCAGTTTTGAGATGCATTGTAGTTTGTGGTACTGGTATGGTATCTACACTCATTAGTTATCATATGTTATCATGAAAGGCACAGAGGATATAATAATATGCAGGAAATAAATATAGTGCTTACTTTTCCATTAATTAAAAAAATAATAATTAAAGAATGAGTGAAACGGTGTCTTTGGTTGCTCATTTAGAATGGTCATCTTGTGGCAAAATGCTCATTTCCTTATGCTCCTATGAATGTTTTTATAATCATTAATTTAAATTTAGTACTTTATGTTCAACATCTCAGAGGTTATGAATGATTAAAGGTACCCTATTTAAAGGAGAGCTTGGCTTTCCCACCATTCAAACATTTTGCAGATTGATTGGTGTGTCAATCAAGATTTTAGAAATTGTGGACCTGGAAGAGTTAAAGATAATTAAGTAGATTGTAATTTTTTGCAGACAGCATGTAGTAACTTGAAGTCAGTTAGTTGCAAAACACAAAAATTATCAATTAGTGTTAGTGAGGCTTTCTTTCTTGTTATATATATATATATATAAATGAGAAAAAATTCTAACATTTTCTTTTGCTAACACTAAGCTTAAGAAAGTAATCACACAGATTTGCACATATTCAAGTAGATAACTTGTAACCCAAGGTGAACATCACATTTGAATTTGTAACTCAATAGATTAACTTTACATTAAACTAATAGAGTTAGTTTTATACATCATGTTGAAACTTACTGAGAGAGAGAAATATAATGTTGAAAGGATTTATGTGAAAAAGTTAAAAATGAATTTGTTAAAGAAGTTTTTATGAAATTAAAACATAGGCCCAGACAAGTGAAACCTGATATGTTAAATGAGTTATTCTGTACAGAAACGAGAAGTGTTTATGACTACTGAATAATACCTAACATAATATTATTTACTGGAACTTGATATTTTGGTAAAATGTATTTTTTATGTGTTCTTGTATTAAGATATTGACATTTGCTTCCCTAACAAAATATCAGGATTAATATTTAACTATTCTCTAGTGAGCATTCTGTTGTCCCAAGAATTCTTTGGTATAATGTCATTGCTGTTAATATAAAAAAAAAAACATTTGCGTTTTAAATAATAATAATTGTGTTTTGCTGCATTTGGTACTATATATTTTGCAATCTTAGTGATCTTGGCAAAGCTTCAGTTGCCTTTTTTATTAGACATTTTAAGGAGATTTTTTTAAAGATTTTTGATGTGTTGTTAATAGATTAATCTTATTTTTGCATTTCCAGTCTCTACTTTATGGCCTTTCTTAAGTTCTCATAGTATTTAGTGCTTTTTTATTAATGTCCTCTCAACTGTTTGATTTTTGCTTAACCGGTTGAAAATTATTTTGCTATTAATGCATGTGGATTATAAGCACTTTGGTAAAAAAGTAAAAACAAAGAATACTAGAGTTGTGTTAGCTTTTATAGCTTTCACACTTTTCAACAGGATATTGGTTCTTAAAATGAAACTGTTTACTGTCATAACATTTCCTGTTGACATACTGTAACTATGGAAGGAGGTGTCTTAGAAAATAAGTTATCTGTAGGCAACAGTGATTAATCAATAGTCATAGTTCTCACTGTTGTTTCAGAAAACACTATTATTTCATTTACATATAGAAAAATCAGTAGAAAGGAAATCATATATCTGTATAACTAGATTGCATGTATTTGTCAATTTGGAATTCCTCTCAGTAAATGCTCATCTTTCACACGTATTTCAAAGTTTTGGTTCTGATGTTTTCTTACAACTCCAGATTATTTATAAGATATTATAGGTGATAATTTGTCATGCATTTATTTTGTTAGGAACAGTGAATTGAAGGTCTTTTTGTTGAGTTTTGTAGGATTTACTATGTATGGTTAGAGAAGTGACATTTTTTTTTTCAAACAGCTTATTTCTTTTTAAGCATAGTTATTGACTCTATTTCACCTAATGTTCTGTTAAAAAACATAGCTTAGCTTTATTCAGAAAAAGAAACTCTTTAATGTTTTATCATAAGCAAATAGTGTTATGTCATTCACCTTTGTTCTTATTCTTTTATCAGAAGTAGACCAAGGATCCTTGGAAAATGGACTGTCCTATGAGTGTAGAACTTTGCTCTTCAAAGCTTTTCACAATCTGATAGAAAGGTGAAATTGTGCTGTACTTTCAACAGCCTTTTCAGTTTCTAAGTCTTAACTTTAACAGAATCTTATCTTTAGATTCAAGTCACAGCAATTTTTTTATTTCAAATACAGCAAAAATTTAGGCTACCTCTACAATAAAGCATTACATAGACAGTTTTTAGCAGAGTTACTAACTGTGTAGGTTGTAACTTAATTCTTTTTTGCTTCTTTGTTACTAAATTTTAAATGTACATGAAAGCTTTTTGAACCTGAGGGTTTTAAGTTATTTTTTCTTGTGTTGAAGTATGACTTTAAAACTTGAATGCCCCAGAAATTTTCATATGAAACATACATAACTAAGGCAAAATCTGGAAGATTTGCAAAACTTTTAAGCAACATTTTTACACATGTAATTCTTTAAAAAACTTGTAACTTGCTATCATAGTTTGATATACACTTTTTCAATTTCTTAGCCTGTTTTTGTAAGTATTATCTTTTCAGCTTTTATAATCTGTTTTTCTAGTTTATTCAGCATATTTGATGGTTGTTTTCAGTTTCTATACACTGCTTAGTGTAATTTTATTTATTTTCTGTAGTTTGTTTAAAAATGTGTATAGCTTAGACTATGCATAAACAATTTATTGTTATGCTTGTTTTTTACCCTCAGGTGTTTCCTCTCTCGGGGCTTTACACGACTAGGAAAATGGTTCATTCAACCTCTTGAAAGTCTGGATTGTTTAGGTCAGAGGTAGGACTTTTATATTACATAAAATGATTGATCCAATCAACTGTCTAGTAACTGTTGAACATATCTTAAATTTCTACACATGAAAGTCTCAGTCATACTTTATCACCCATTAAACAAGTTGATGTGACTCATAATCTAAGAGAGAGAGAGAATTTCTTAAGCCAGTGGAGGTTACCTAACAGAGTTCTTCATTGATATAATACATTTTAAGTTCACACTTTGAACTAAGTTCATGAAACAATGCATTTTATATATACATTTGTGCATAATACTTTTTTGAAGTAATATAACATATTGTGTACTTCCTCCTCTTAACTCTGTCACAACTAGCGAGCACCTTTCAATTGTTGTATGCATACCTTTATATCAAATTTAACTAAAAGTGGAAAAAAATTCATTATATTTATTTAGTTTAATTCTAAAAAAAAATCAAAATATGTTAGTACTTTTATTTCTTTGCAGCTCTGAGGAGTCTCATCTACTAAGAAACTATCCTTCCTTGAGAACATAACTATCTATGTCTTGCTTCTTTGTGATTTTCTTTCTCTATTTTGATATCACAAACCATCGTTTTGACCCTTTTGTAATATCACACCGTGTGGTCATTGACGAAGCAAAGTTTTAAAGATAGCTACAAGCAAAGTTTAAATATCATTGGACAGACCAGATTATAAACTATTTACATCAAGGTAGAGTAAGTAATGGTGTGATCAGTAATTTACGATTTTCTATGAATTGTGTAGATGGAGAGCAGTAAAGATGAACAAAGGAAAATTAATGGGAAGCTTAGAAGACTTTAGAACAATCCACAGATCTAGAAATTCTTTTAGTCTCTTTAGACATTTTCACTCATGAAAATGTTTTTATATTAAATTACGGCCCCTCGGGGGGGATTCCTGTTCATGGTGAGGGGGCCTCCCAGGGAACATTCTGTATTTTGAGTTACCTTTTCTGTTTGCCGTGCGTGTCAACCCGTGAAGGGGAGGAGAGGATCCTACTGGTTGAGTGGTGTCTGGGGCACTGCAACACACCACTTTGGCCTTGAATTCCTGTAGATGGGTGACCTTGGGTGGCCCCCTCAGGGTCAATCGGCTGGTCCTGTCCTGTTGGACTAGGGTCAACTGAGTTGGGCATTCTCAAAAGGTGTTGTGGACATCATGTTTGATGCTGGTGTTTGGTTATAGTGCCCACGAAACCCTGGCATGGCTGCAGTGTCCTTGTTTGACATTGTAATGCATCCCCTCGTAGGACTCCATGGTCGGTAAGGTCAGTGAGCACTGAATCTTTCTCTTTATACTATGGATCCCCCCAAATCCTAATAAAAATAAAATAGTAAAAACTCCGCTCATTGGTAAACAACCATGCCTTGAAGACTGAAAAAAGCAGTCTCCACCCCATTATGCACCTTTACCTCATTTTCTTATTGTGCATTCTTTGTCGAAAAAACCTTTAGGGCAAATGTTGCCTTTTTTTATTCAGAAGGGATTAGAGGGGTTTGCTGGCTCTCCAAAGTCACTGAAGAAGCTACGTTCTGGGGACATCTTGGTGGAAACATCAACATCAAAGCACAGTGAACTCCTCTTTAATTCAAAGGCCATTGGGGATATACCCATTGAGGTTACTCCCCATGCTACTCTGAATTCCTCACGAGGAGTTATTGTTGAGAGGGATTTGAAGAACATCCCCAAGTTGGAGATCCTTGCTGGTTTCTTCAGCCAAACTATTTTTTTTTTTGTGGTGCTTCATATCTCCCCTTGTAAAGACGGACTTATGCTGCCTACCAGTGTTCTCATTTTGATATATTCATCTCCACATCAACCTGCTGCTGTCAAGGCAGGTTATGTGAACTGTAAGGTACAGCCGTATGTTCCCAACCCTCTCTGATGTTTCCGTGCCAGCGATTCAGTCATTCGAAGGCATCTTGTCATGGTTCTGTGATGTGTACTTGTTGTGGCAAGGACCATGATGCTTACGAGTGCAAACTGGACCCTCACTATGTTAATTGTAGTGGTTCCCCACTCCTTTTACTTTAGATCTTGCCCTAAGTGGGTGGATGAGAAAGAGGTACAGCGTTTGAAAACTGTTAACAACATTTTTTACCCTGAGGCTTGGGAAGCTATTGTTCCCTACTCCATCTCAGACATATGCCACTGCAATATGCTCCACTGCTATGGTGGAAGTGCAGACAGACCTTTCTGTGCCTATGTATGAGTCTTTTTCACCTTATATGAGGGGTCTGCTG